TTTGTTTTCTTTTAATAAGAAAAAAACCTAAGATCATCAACAGCATTTTATTTTTTATTTTATTTATCTTTTTTATTCCCCACAGGTGCGTCGCTGTATAATCAGATATTATCTCAACATTGATTTGAAAACAAACACTTCCCCATTAGAAAACATGTTTTAAAATCCATGCACATGGGCCGTACATAAATATTCCAAAAAGCTGAAGTTTGTAGGAATAAGAGAATCGAGCAGCTGAGAAATTAGCCAAAAGCAGCTTCTCCAAATTGTTTAAAGAGATAGTAATCTTCAAATACCACCGGTGCAGCCTCTTGACACCAGTCTGTTCACACCAGCATGCAGCACTGTAAGGTGTTTCTAGACTTTGAGTCTCTTTGTGAGAGAATGTTGAGAAACTCCATACCTCCATACCTAATCTTTAAACATAAATCAACACTGAGATCCATCGATTAAGCGCTGAATATTTACCTTTTCAGGAATGCAAAAAGAAACTGGAGCCCATCCATTATTAACATGTAAGTGGTATTGTGGAGGGTAACACTTTTTTACATTTACATTTTACATTTAAAAACTTATTTTTGAAAATCTTCCATTACATACAGTTCAGTTTAGTAGGAAGGCACCAGGAGACACGGATCAGGTGCAGAAGGTTCATTAAACGTCCAAGTAATCCAACAGATGAAAATCAGAGCAGGCAGGAACAGAGGTAAACACAAGAAAAAGCACAACCACAAAGAGGGAGATGACAGGAACCAACATGATATTTTAACCCAGGGCACCAGGTGAGACCAGCGAGACTGATTCACAGAGCAGCAGAGAACACAGGTGAGGGTGAAGAACTAATTATCCCAGGAGAGACACAGCTGACTTCTTCGTGCTATTTCATGTCATTTGATTCATTATTTCACTCAAAGTAAACAACTTTATTTATTATTCAAATTGATTTTCTTTCTGAAGCAGGTTAAAACAGAACCTCTTCTGTCCCTCTGGTTTCTTCAGATGACAGTAAAGACGTGAATGCAGCCACGCTCTGGTGAAACTACAGTGAACGATGACTCATCTGTGCAGATCACTGTACCTCAGCTTTAATGCCCCTCTTTATGTGACTGACTTACACCAGCTGACATCCTGCTCTGAACGTCAGCAGACTCACTTGCATACATGGACATAGTGCATAAATATCCAACTTAATTTCTGACTTTTATGTCAGTTTTCTCTCGGTCAGGGTTCATAGAAGCATCAAATCTTGATTTAGTTTTTTTTCTCTCATCCTTTTGAAGCAAGTAACTCCTCTCTGTGGTCGTACCTATGCTGCAGAACACAACAGGGTGTTGACAAATTGATGGTGTCAAGCAGTGTAGCTGCAGAAAAGACAAAGTGGCATCACTGTGGAGGCGCCTGCCTTAAACAGCAGCCACTTGGGATGGCAAGCCATGCATATTAACTTGAAATACACTATTGATTAGAGAGGAGCAAAGTGAACACAAAACTGTCTTATTTTGTCTTATTTTGTTTGTACCTATGTACTCATGTTTTTACATAAAAACCACAGTTTGAGATATAACACCTATGATGACATGCTGAACGCATTCAGGTTTAAAAATGCTTTTCGGATATATGACAACACTTGCGTGTGCTGGGCGCCACTGAGACACAGCTCTAATTTCCTCTCCTTATCCCTGCGTATATTATCACGTATAATAAAAGGTCTGATTGAATCAATAGGAAAACGGTCAGCGAGTCAGTTGCGAGAAAACAGGCTTTATAAACGGTACTTCATTTTGTGTCACAAACATTAACTGCAATATTGGATCAATATGGTCAGGCTGCAGCGTGGTGCTTCAGTCGGTACTCGAACACAGCAGGTATCGATTCAATATCACACTTAACGGCTGTTGTGTTCAGTGAAACGTCCTGAGATTTAATTGTGTGGAACAATAAAATGCATCGTGTGCAATTATCGTGTTTACCTAATATTTTTCTTCTTTGGTTTAAATAGCAGACAATTACAATCAGACTAATGGAGGCAGTTTGTTTCCTTTATTTACTTTGTTCTTTCTTGTGTTTAAAAGCAAAAAAAAAAAAACAACAAATAAAAAAAACAGTATAACACATATATGTGCAACATAGAAGCCTGGTTATTTCCTACTGTAAATTGTTCTGTGTAATAAAAAAATAACAAAAACATTATTATAGAACAAACGTAAATAAAAACTTACAACGTATAAAAATACGTTTACTAGGAGTTGTTCACAATATACACACATTTTTTATATTTCTTCACAGCTAAAACATTACATCTGTAACCTTTGACCAGTTTTGGGGGTTGGGCTTGACGAGGAGGTCTCTGGGGCTTGAACCCAGGACCCTTCTGTGTGTAAGGCAGATGTATAAGCAGGCGTGATAACCGCTACGGAACCACTGATCACACTGGTCAATCACAAGTGCATTCATACTGTAGCACTTCCTGCAGGTGTTGTGGGGGATGGTGTTTCTTTGTATTGAGGGTAAGCAGTTGCTACATACTCCACGGGAACTCCTTTCTTTGACTCTCATCTCTGCACAAATGTATTTTTCATCAGTAAACATTTACACTGGCAGATATCACAATCAGAGACAAAGGAAGGGGAAAGGCTGATGGTACAAACACACTAGACTACAATTAGGGATGTTCAATGTTAACTTTTTGCCGATATCCGGTATGCCAATATTTTCCAAACACTTATTTTCCGATTCTGACATCAACTGATACCGGTATAGGCCTGGCAATATTTATTTGTTTATTCCACTGTATTGTGTTGCTGGTGACAGCATTCTGCAATACAATCCCCTGATTATTAAAATAGATCAATACAATTAGCTATAATGCTGCCACTTAGTAACTTTCACTTTAATATACAGCTGTTTAACCCCAAAACTATTTTTAGAGCACACATCATTTGGTGAAACCCAGGCATTGCGTTAATGTGTTTTCATTATCAGAGGAAAAACCCATAACGATTCTTACAATGTCACATAATTATGCTAATATTGGCCGATAATATTGGTCGACCGATTATCTGATTTTCTACTATTCGTAGATGTTTATGTCACAGCAGCTTTTATATCTACTCAGCAGAAGGTAACATTATAAACCAAGAAGCAACAAGCTGCTGAGTGTAATGAAACCGCCGTTACAGTCACTTCTACTTATTTGGCAGATGCTTAACTGCAGCTAGGCCGAACTAAAACTCCAGTGCCAAAGCAGAGCTCGGTGTTAAATCTGTTAAATAAAACAAAAGCAGTTGACCAAAAGCACCAGTTGTAAATGAGAATTCACTCTCAGTGGTCTGGAGTCTGGCTGTAGTTGTTTTTATTGTCGGAATAAGTGGCTAGATTGTGATTTCAGGGTCCAATTAAACAAAGATTGAGAATTTTTGGCAGTAAAACTTGAGTTAATTTGTGTCTATTGTTTTCAGCTTTACTGACATCAAACAATTTGTTGACAGCAGAGCCGCCCTTCTGGTTTATAGGTCGAATGAATCAACGTCATCAGGGAGAACAGGGAAAGCGGTGTTGGAGAAAAATAATCAGCACACTGAATGTTAGCAGCAGTTTAAAATGATTATATTAATTATTACTTTTTTTGTTTGAGTTCAACTGTTGATTAGCTCAGTGTTTTGGTATTTAGAGATGGTATTCTCTGACAAAGATGTAATTGGTTGAATCTTTTGGGGTTTTAACCCCAATCTGTTCACTAGAAAAGACCAGAAAAGGTTTAAAGTCCTTATTATTGAAACTCTGCCTGTTGAAGTTTTTTGTCATATGTTATGCTATATTTACATTTAGCTCCATTATAGCTGCCTCTACTGTTTTCCATGTGTCATTTGACCTTGTCTCGTAGGTTTAGTTCTTGTAATGAGATAATAGTTCTTAAAAAAATACAAACAATTTAAAATTTCATTACAAAATTAAAAATGTACTTTATATGTTATGAGCTAATTAGATCTTGAGATCCTTACTGTTATCACCGCAGCATACAGTACCATATGGCCGCCACGTCAACTCAACATTACCTACTGTGACAGATCACGACTATGATTCATCAAAGCATCCAAAAAGTCAATGACATTCACAGAAGGATACTGTTTGAAAGGGTTTAAATAAACTAAAACTCAAAAGTTGAGACATAGATTGAAGGTCAACAATATTTTGCCACCATGGACCGAGACAATATTTTCACAGAACCGATCTTCAAGGTATGGCAAATAAACATTACAAAAATGATAAAACTGGGATTAAAAAAAAGTGCATAGATAATTCCTCTCATGCCGTTACTACACATAGGGCAGAGTGGCCGTGGCACATGAGAATTACATGTTGGGATAAAGCTGTACCTAAAGTAGGATATATGGTACTGTAGTACTTGGCTTTCTCTTTTTTGATGTAGCTCCAAAGATTTGTTGTTATTTTTAGAATTAGTTGTTTGAAAATTGACCAATTGACTGAGACAAGCATGTGGACTTTTTATTAGTGTGGACCCCTCCTCCTCTCCCTTACTGTCAGTCCAAAACCATGGTATACAAGATGGGGACATTTGTCAGTCACAGCTAAATGCAAGATTTTATATATATATATATATNGCCTTCCCTCTTAATTCTCCAAATGGTGACCTTATCTTCTGCATGAACTCACAAATGTTGGACATAATTTGCACTGTAAGACATGTGGGTGGTGAACATGGTATAATGGAGCTGTTTGTCCAAACATACTCACCTATTACACTCTTCACTAGTCAACCTCATGTCACAATCAGGATCATCATTATTTATCTTGTCCTTGTTAGTCTGAGAGGCCCTGGCGTGTTTTTTCTTTAGCACAATAACAGCAGCGATCACTGCAGCTAGCAGCAGCACCACCGCCGCCGCTCCACCTGCTGCAGCATAAAGAGCTGTGTTAGACGATGACGGCGACTCATCTGCGGGGACCGTCACTTCGTTTCTTCCTCTAGGTTCAACGGTCACAGGTTTGATTATTTTCAAAATTGTCTCCTGTTTGAAAAGGCATCTGTCTGTGTTTGGCCAGTATTGGTAATCACTGACCTCCTCGTTCTCGGTATCTTCCTCGTCATACTCATAATCGTAATTATCTTCATCGTCATGGGACTCGGTGCCTCCCAGAACTATACACCAGTACTCTCCTCCATCTTTCATTTCTGCCTTAGAGATGGTCAGTGAGGATCCATTATCAGCTAGTGTCACTCTCCCCTTCAGGCCGGACAGGTTCGGATCGTCTCGGTCGCCCGAGTCTTGGATAAGTACATTATATTCCCCTGCCATTTCCTTACGGTACCATTGCACTTTTTGGATTCTGGCTTGGTTAACTTTGCACACTAGAGAGACATTTTTACCTTCAAGTGCAACTTTTTCGAGTGGATTCATTTTGGGGCAAAGAAAGAGCATGTACTGCAGCTCCAGTGACGAGGAAATACATGAATATTCGCCACTGTGATCTTCAGTGACTGCAGGAATGACCAATGAGAATTCTTTGAAGTCACTTCCAGTTGATATGTACATGCCGTCCAGCCTTGTGTTTTTGCTGTCGAGGTTTCCCAACGGTGTCTCCCATTGCTGTCTGTCACCATCAGAGGGACACTGTAGCACCAGTCTGGCCCCTTGCGTTGTGAATATATCTTTGTTCTCCGTATTATCCGGTAAATACATGTTTTGGAAACTGAGGCATTTTTTATCTTGCATTATCTGACAGTGAAAGTACTGTGTGGTCTTCCACACACTGTTGTCAACGCCCAGCACCAACCCTCCGTCTCTGACCTTCATGACACCCTGCAGTTCCTTGACCTGTGGCTTTAGTGAAATACTGGTGTCCAGGAAAAGTGTAGGCTTATAAAGTGGATATTTTTCCAGGAACCAACGCACAAAGGTTCCCTCCAAACCACTGGAGGAGCTTTTGCACTGAAGTTCAGCCTCGGCGTCTCCCTCCTTTACAATGACCTCTATGGATGGAACCTCCTCGTCGCACACAAAGAGCTGATTGAAGACCTTGCTGACGAGTTTCTGATTCTGCCAACACTCCCTCCTGTACATCCCTGAGTCCATGTGCGTGAGGTTGAGGATCTGCAGTCCGAGCAGATGGTGATGCTGGTTGATGCGAATACGATTCCGCAGATCAGCGGGAGGTGTGACAGTCACGTTGACTGAAGAGTTTCCAAGCAGCTGGTCTCCCTCTTGGTCACACCTGTAAACCACAATATAATCCACTCCGAAGCAATATCCCATTTCGATCATGCCGCCCTGTGCTCTGAACATGATCTCTGGCTCCTCACTGCAGGTACAGCAGAGGAGCAGGACGCAGAGCAGAAACCCAGAGAATTTAACGGAGGTCATCTTGTCTGACTGTCCGGGCCATGTGTTGATCACACTCTGACAAGTGATCCCGAAGTGAACTGGTTTTACTGTTGACACTTGGTCCCTCCTCCGTGTCCTTTATCAGACAGCCCTAATACAGAAAGTTGTGATTCTGGTTAAACATTACAACTGCGGAAGTGCCGTTGGACTGGTTTCTCTCAGCTGTGGGTGTGAGCATTCATTATGCAAGATCATTTGACAGGGGTTGAAAGGCAGGTTCTTTTTCACATGTGTTTTTTTTTGGGGGGGGGGGGGAATTCCTGACAAACAACAACGATGGTACATTTTGTAAATTCCCACAGTATGTCTCTCAGTACCAGCACAATCTGGTTTAATGAGCATATTAATCTGAAATGAATCGATAACATATCATGTGCTAGGTTACCGTTTGTGTTCTAACCCTACATTATTTTAATGACACTGACACGGAGGTGATCAACACATTTATGACCTATCGCAAACTCACACATTAGCCACACAATGTGATAGTTGACCTACATACAACACAGAGTCCCCTGTTATTTAGGTGTATCGTTATTATGTGCTTCAAGATTAAAGTGCACTTTTATCCTTGAACACAGATAAGGCTGCTGTGGGAAAACCCAGTACTTGTCCAGCAGGAAGTGGCTACAGTGGGGACTTTTAACTGATAAAAGTCCTAAGTCCTCAAGTGGAGGACAGGAGGTCAGAGGGCAAAAATCTGACACTACGTTTGGGTGACTTTATCATTAGTAGCTTTTTACCTCATTTAACAACGTAATCTTACAACAGCAACACGTGTGTCACCATTTGCTGCATTTATTGTTGTGTGTTTATTGCAAATCAGACTGGTTTCACTTTCAACCTAAAAGTATTTTGTTTATAATGCACAGTGTGTGGAGCGAAACAGCAAACAGAGGATGACACGAAAAGGAATGCCAGCTGTGAGAGGAAATAAAGTATTTAAAATACTACTCACACACAGAACACTTCCTATTTTCCAGCTGTACCTTTGCATTTGATATATTTTGTTCTGCCAAAGACAGCTTGTCAGCATTTTGGTTTTTTTGACTGAAAAATGTGCTGCTTCTGTTGTAGCATGTTATCATGCTGTCTCCTAATTTATATATATATATTCTTAGCATCAAGCAGATAATTGTATCTGAAGATCAGGGTACAGCAGTACCACAAAGCTCAACATATACAGGAAATGACTAGATTGTAAGGTGGAATGCCTGTAGAAAACACTTCAGCAGATGCGGCTGTTAATGCAGTTCCCCATAATCCAGTAAGAACTTCAGATACAGGCTGGTATACTCTCCACAGACCACAATTGTATCCACAATGTGTCTGTGCAGCACAGTTAGATTTGTGTGCTGACATGGTTTGGTTTATAGAAAACTCAACGGTCTACACATTTGATTTGAGTCAACATGTCATGGCAGTAGATTTGTTAGTTTAACAAGCCACCTCCCCTGACCTTCTGGTTTTGTTCAAAGGGAAACATAATAATACGTGTTGAAAAAATGTCTGGGTTTGAACACATTTTAAAGGATGTAAGCACCCTTCAAATAAAGCCAGTACACCTGGTTGACTGCAAATAGAAAAAGAAGAAATGGTTCTGTTTACTCTGCAGGCACGACTGTTGTTTTATGCTCCTGTCTCCTCTTTATATGACATTCTAAAAAAAAACAACAACAACAACCCACAAATGACCTGATCTGGCTTGACACGCACAGACTCACAATAACAACTCTGATATGTAGCTCAATCCTGTCAAGATATACTGGATTTTATAAAGCAGCAAAATGCTCCAACCTGATTTCCTTTGGAGGAATATCATCTGTTTACTGGTACATAAAGGATAATGAACCCAGCTACCCACTCGGCAGCGGCAGCCCTCATGCTGCTGAGGGAACAGCTTGCAGAGCTGGTGATCAAGCATCGTGATCAGACACCAACTGTGTGAAAAACTCGCTGTGTGTTGAGTCTAATTCAGCGCGGTGCTGATTACACCTATCAGTGCTCCGTATGCTGCAATCTTTGGAGGCGCACCAACTGCTGTTTGAGAAGCGGAATTGTTGCCAAAATTACTTATACCTGCATATGTGGCCTGAAATGACTCTCTGAGTGATTCTTGTAAAAACAGGAGAAGAATGGAGAATTAAGGGCATAGAGTTGGATACCTATAATACTAGGACATATTTACAATCGTGTTTTATATATATATGTGTGTGTGTGTGTGTGTATAAGATTCTTTCGCTTACGTTTTTTAATAAATTGCAGTGACGCTTCATTTCAGGTCCTAGCCTTTATGTGGCGCTGTGGTAATAATAGTCTACACAAATTAAGCGTAGAAGAAGAAAACCCACCCATAACATAACGTCACTTCCTTTGACCGCAGGTGAAGTATATTTTGATTATTATTCGCAGCATTTGTGCGCAAATAACGTCTTAGCGGTCAGTCTCGTAATTATACGATTTTACACAATGCGATGAAAGGGTGCAGTGGCTGCTGTGATAATAGCCAGCAGCTAAATCACAGTACGAAGGCTCTTATTTTGAACCAGTCTGGTAGATCCTGAAACCAGTTATAAAATAATAATAATAAGTCACCGTTTTTTGTGTAATACTCAAATCGCAATAATACATTGCATTGTGCTTGATGTTGATTAACGTTGTGATGACACCAAACCTCACATGTTTATGACCGTGTGTTGTTTCATCTAGACTTTGCAACAATGTGGCCCCTGATGGTAACGTCACTGTTTGTCCGTTGTCAACGTGTGGCTGCTTCACCTTTAAACCTCAGGTTGTGCAGGACATTGAATTCACCACCAGAGAACCAGCAGACCGTGCAGACTCTTTATGATCTCTCAGTGGACATCCAGAAGGTCCGCAAATTAAAGGGCTGGGTGCTACATCAAAGCCCAGCCTATGCTGAGGAGATATCTATCATACTGAAGAACATGGGGGCCTCAGAGTCTATAGTCGCCAATATTTTGGGAGTATATCCTGAAGCTGTCCTCTGTCACCCAGAGCAGATGCAGACTCAGATGGAGTTGTGGAGGACTGTGTGTCAAAACAAAAAGGATCTGGTTGGTATAATTGAGAAATTTCCTGCCTCCTTTTTCACTCCTTCCAGTGATCATGAGAACCAGCGGCAAAACATTGACTACTTTCAGAGTTTAAAATTAAACAAGCGAATCATCACCAAACTCATGGCCTGCGCCCCTCAGAGTTTCAGCCGACCTGTAGAAGAGAACAAGGCGATGGTCCACGCCCTGCAGGAGGCCTACCTGGAGCTGGGAGGTGATGAGGCCAACATGAAGATTTGGCTTCAGAAGCTGATGAGCCAAAATCCATTTGCTCTGTTGAAACCACCAGAGTTGCTGAGGCAGAACATAATGTTTCTCAGAGACAGAGGGTTTACCTCTGCTGAGCTTCTCCACCTCATCTCTAAGCTCAAGGGCTTTGTCACTGAGCTGAACCCAGGCGGCATGTGTCAAAGCCTGGCATACTCCCAGGGCATTATGGGCTGTTCTGAAAAAGAGCTACGGGACATTGTCTTTAACTGCCCTGCTCTTCTTTATTACCCTGAAACTGTTCTGGCTGAGCGTTTTGCTGCACTCCTAAAAGCTGGGATCAGTATGTCTCAAATTATGGAGACTCCAACTGTCCTGGAGTTGACCACACAAATAGTGAATTACCGCATCCAACAACTGAAGACATTTGGTTATGATGTAAGGTCAGGTAGTCTTGAGGCCCTTAATGGTACCAAGAAGAACTTTGAGATGAGCTATGAAAAACTACAAATTCGTAAAGAAAGGCCCCTTTTTAATCCTGTTGCTCCATTAAAAGGAGATGACTGACTACTGGTGTAAACTTAACCTCACCTGTAAGTTGATAAATATCTATTACACTAAGAAGGACAGTGATTTAACCTGCTTTTTGAAAAAAACCTCAACTGTGTTGTGGTGGAAAACACATCGCTGTGTTTGATAATATAATATAATAATATTTTTAGGATGTTTTTTTTTACATCTACCTCTACTTGATAGTTATCAAAAAGTATGATCTTGAATGAATTTTGTTTTATCCTGCAAATACTGTTAAAATGGAAAACTGACTGTACTGATGTGATTTGTGAAATGTTTGTATGTGATTAAAGTGTTTCAGATTTATTGTCCACTCACCAGTAATATTTCCTCTTATGTCATAGTTGGCGTCAGCAGCAAAGGGGAAGATGATGCAAATAATCCCCCTTTTTTAAAATATACAAGTTACTTGTACACATCCTCACATAAATTCAGTGCACACTGAGAAGTGCCGACCTGTCCATCAAATGCATCACTGACGGCAAACCAAACTTTTTAACCCATTTTATTTACTGCCCTGGTGAGTGCCTCATTTTCACACCATGTACTTGGCTGGGTAATGTTCGCCTCAGGCAGGAAATCTGAACTGTGTCTGCAATTTTTTATTGTTACTTTATAGTAGCAGACTCTTTATTACCCACTATCTCACCACTGAAATGTCACCTTGTCATTCGAAATGAATTTGAGTGCAGCTACGTTTGATTGGAAAAATGGACGAAAGTGAGTTTGTTTTGGTCTGAACAGAAAGAGCACTCAAAGTACAGACACATGTACAAGGCACTGTTCAAAGTTCAAGCATTTTAGATCATTGGTGTTAGATAGATAGATAGATAGATTCATCCATCCATCCATCTAGAAAATCTCCGCTGGACATTGAACTATGCTCAAGAAAGTGTATTTATGGGAACAGGGTAATGACATCGTTGTTTCATGCCTTAAGGTTCACTCACCCTCATACAAATAAAGAGGGGACTTGTGTGTCCACAGGGAGGAGACAATGACTTTAAAAACTTTTACATCTTGCCTCCTGCTAGTATCTGCACAGCCTCATATAGAATGGCCAGTGGGGGAATGATAAAGAATGAATATGACTCTTTGTGGATTCCAAACTGTCACATGGACACATTTTCCGATCATTCAAAGGGTGGCCATGGGGCCTCAGGTGTTTAGAGTCACCTTCTTTCTCACCCACTCTTTAATCTTGTACTATGCTTTAAATCAAACAGAGATGACAGAAAATACATTACACACACTGTACGTATATTTCCCCAAATGTAATCGTTAATTTAGTTTTGGCCTTTTACAAAAGTGCAAAAAATATGCAGCAATCCAACTAATCTAAAGGTTCGTTTTACCCCTTAGTTCAATACAAATCTGGTTCGATTCCCGGTCGATGTTTCAGTATTTTGTATGTTGCTCCGTGTCCCGGCTCAAAAACCTGCTCATTAGTGGATTAGGGTAAACGGGGTCCCTAAATTTAACGCAGGTGGTGCCCCCCTCGCTTGTTGACAATTAGGTTTGGCTCTAGCGCCCCCAAGCGATTATTCCAGTTTGAGCTGCTGTAAAGACGGTCATTAAAGAACACTACCCTAAATCCCACTGTTTAATGAGGCTTATACTGCAGGCAGTAGTTCTTCTTGGTTATTATTAGGGAGGGCGTTATCGGTAAACCAGTGTCTTGTTATTTGCAAAACCTCATCTGTTTTGATAAAACTAAAACCAGTCCGGATTTTTTTCAAATTATGCTGCTCGTTTAGTTTTTCCTATTAAACCCATCAATCGGGTTGTTATAAAGTCACTGAGCACACAAAACTCGGCTTGTCCCGCGACTTAAAATAAATACTGTTAAAACCATCTAATCACATATTACACATTTCTCTAAAAAGTCAGTGGTAAAATAAAATATTGACTTTCTGGTTAAATATATGAAAGAGTGAACTTTGTACAGCAAGCGTTAACAGTTAATGTAATTATATTTGACCTTTTGCGCTGGGTATAAGGCTCTGTTAAATTCATAGATGTACATGTATATGTAAACTTTTTAATCTATGATTTGTTCCTTCCTTTCAGTTTATCCTTATGTTATAATTATAACGTAACGTCCAATGTTTTAGAGGATTAACATTCACATTTAATACTTCATATTTTTACCTTTTACCGTAAATTATTTTTCCCGTGCATAGTTTTTGTAACAAACTGGAAATTGATCGGACATCTTTTCTCATTGTCTCTCTGCCGAGGCAGTCCTCCCTGAGTCTAGCTTTCCTGGAGATTTCTTCCTGTTTTTTTCCCTCTCCACTGTTGCTAAAATGCTTAGTCAGTCTGTAACTGCAACTTTATTCTGGGTTTTATTAGGCGGATATTTATATAATTTCAATCTTTATTTAAAATTGCCAAGTCTAACAACACAAATGTGATTTGTGAATCAAGGCACTACATATAAAATGGACTTGACTTGACTCAAGTCTACACATTATCCACCTCCTTCTTAAACACTTGGAATTTATACTTGATGCCATTCTCCTCTTGGATGTCACATGCTACATCAGGAAATCTGAATTAGAGAGAACAACATTATTATTATTATTTAAATGAAATAACAATGCCTTATATAAACAGGTAAACGATGATAGTCTTAAAGCAAATTAAGCTAATATATTTAAAAAGTTGAATATATTCAAATCATCAGCATTACATGTTAAAATGCAATATTTTATTAACAAACATTCCTACGCTTAATAGCATTTGCCCCTCAACTAAAAATACCAAAAAGCTGAATGATTTCTATTTTGATAGACTGTTCTTGTGTGTAAGTGCGTTCAAGAACCAAGAACCACGAGCGATGTTGGTAGACTAACCAGCAAAACATGGTCTGCAACATATTTTCTACTACAGTCACAGTTGTGTTGTCAATGCGTCAAAGAATAACAATTTAAATTGCCTCTATATGATCAGAAAAACATCAAGAGTATTAGAATAAAGACTCGGAACTTAAACATCAGAACTAATACAATAATTTGAAACATTTAAAGCTCTTAGTATATAAAATACCTTTAACAATACTGCAAAACATATAATATTTTAATATCTCACCCCAAACTAAGTATCATGACTCTGTTGAGGACAGTACAATAACTGTAATCCGTAACTGTAATATTGATGTTGTACCTGTTTTGAAGAACAAACAGTTTCCGGTCAAGCTCAGGGAAGAAAACATCACAGTCAAAGTCAGCCATGATATCAGTCAGGTAAACCAGGTCACACCATGGATGCTTCATGCCCTCCTAGAGATAGAACAGGTGCACAGTGTTTCATTTATTTATCTATTAAAATAAGACCTTCCAGTATTACTACTTTTGGAGATTTTATTTATTTATTTTTTTGTGAAATTTTCAACTGAAAAGAGATGGTACACGAGATAAAAATGTGCCGGTGGTTTGTGACGGAGTGTTTTTTCAAAGTTAGATTTTTCAACATAATAAAGACATGTACTGTACATAAACATTCCATTTGTAAAATTTAAACCAAAAGCTAACAATTTAATTGGTCAATAAATGTCGACTATATATGTGTGTGTGTTGTATTGTGATCATAGCCAGGCAACTGGACAAAGTAGGTTTTTTGAAGTCGTTTCACCTCTTATTCAAGAGGCTTCTTCAGTTCTGACTGACTACTGGGAAATTCTGGTATTTTTCCTTTAAAAAGGCTGCAAACCCATGACGAGGGTCATTGCAGAAAGGGGGGATGGATGTGTGGTGAAACCCATCCTATTCTAAAGAGGGCCGGATGTAAACTCACAAGGTTAGAGGTGTGAGTGGGGAGTGGTACCATAGCTATGGACTATGGTATCATAGCTGTGGACTATGGTATCATAGCTGTGGACTATGGTATCATAGCTGTGGACTATGGTATGGAAGCTTGTTCCCCTTTTTTTTTTGAAGGTGTGGTGATTTGTGTGTCACCCTGGTTAGGACATTGGAGGAGGTATGTGGCTAAAAAAAAATCAGGATGTTTAGACAATTTTACCTCATACATCTGTCTTCCCCCAATCACCCAGACGGTTTCTATTAGGTCAGCAAGTGGACGCTCAGACGCCAAGTTCACTGCACTCTCAAAGTCTGACGTAACGAAGTGGGCGTGATCAGGAGTCGTGCTGTAAGACAAAACAGCTCACAAAAATGACTCAACTTTAAATGCTGATTACGGTACATTCACTTTAGCAGGTAATTGTTGGAAAACAACCAAACAAAATTGTAATTCAACGAAACCACACAACCTATCAACAATAAGAGGTGAAGAAGGTAAAAGAGGAAAAGAAGATGGAGAAGATGAAAAGGAGAGGGAGAAGGAGAAGAAGGAAATACCAATATGACAAGTTGTAGTTTTTACACACACAAACATGCATCAACAGCAGATTAACCACTGGGTAGCTATGAATCGGCATTGTTCTGGAAATATATATATTAAAATATTAGGTGGAACAAAGATTATTTACTCACGTTAATTTGGTGCTCACCACCACATGCAGAACATTAGATAACGGAAAAAGCTCCGGGTTGGAAAACCAGCAAACCTTGCCCCATATTAACAAATTCAACTTCCCTGAAATACACAGAAAAAAATGTTAGATATTATCTTTGAAAATCAATGACACAGTCTTCATTTCAGAATCTAGTTTGGCCATGATGAGGTGAGGTTATTTTAAACTCTACGTTTCCTATTTTAAAAGAAGCTATTTTCATAGAACAGAGAACAGTCCTATAGACCACAGGTCCCCAAATCCCGGGCCGCGGACTGGCACCGGTCCGTAGGTCAATTGATACCGGGCTGCACAGGAAAAAAAACGCATAACTTGGATTATTTCCGTTTTATTTATTATCTGCCGCTGAACGATGTTTTATTTTGAAAATTACCGGATTCTCTCCGCCGCATCTGTCTATAACTCACACTTGAAACCAAGCGTTCAGCATTCAAATACAAGCGCAATGTTACAAGGACGCTGCTAGTTAAGTTGCATACACAGTGGCTTAATGTCTATTATATTTAAAAAATCCCAGTTTTTATTTAGTTGTATTTATTCGTCACATCACCGGTACGGGTTGGGGGCCACTGCTATAGACTCTCTGCTCAATATACCACCCAGCCATCACTCTTCTCTAGTGTACCCCTTTTTAAATGTGAAATTCAAGATTCAAGAATGTATTTCTTTAAAAAATAAAAGACGGGTATGAAAAACACATACTGACATAACAAATGAAGTTGCACTGACAAGAAGTCATTTTATGTACTGTTCAACAGTATTCCAACCATAATTATAAGTACAGTGTACACCACAGAAAGCCCAGACCCTCTGTGTTACTGTACTGTATTATGACAGACGTCATATATGCATTACCTGGTCTTGACACCCTAGTGATGGAGTCTAGAAAGTACTGGAATTCACGTCTGGAGAAAATTAAACAAATGGTATTAGACAGGAGGGTGAGACATTACAACGTTAACGTTATCTTATGTCTACAACACAGTACTGACGTACGTAGAATATTTTATTATCAGTAACGACACATTACTGACAAAATATTTTTGAGTGGCGCAGTGACAGGACTTCCGCCTGCCATGCAAAAAGTGGAAAGACGCATGAAGTCATTCTCACAGGTAGATAGACATTAAAATGTTCCTACTTGGTTTTAAGGAATGCACATTTGTACGTAAGTAACGTGTCAATATTCCAGTCTTACGGTAAACACCAGGGCACTTTTCCGTCCTTGCCGATCCCCATGCCATTACAGGCTGCTGCGATGAGACGCAATGGCTTTTTCTGCACTTGGTCCCGGCTCTTTTCCATCTCAAACACTCAGAGCAAACACGAAACCTGCAGTTATCCAATTCAAACAACACTGTGTCCTAGTGCCTGTAGCTTGTGTGTGTGAGCAGCCCATGGCTGGATCTTAAAGCATCACCACCCTCCCGCAAACGGCTCCCATTGGACAGAAAAGTATCTTTGATTTCGGGCTTATCAGTGTGTGTAATCAGACGAGCTATAGCTCACGTGAATTAAAAGACGCTTCAATTGCCATTCAAAGGTTTAGCGCATTGCTGTTCATCATTTACATTACTCAAACAATGCACATTGTTTTTGCTATGACTCACTTCTTTAGGTCTAAATCGATGTACTTTAAAGTTGTTGTTTTTTTAAACACACTTCAGGAAAACCGAAATATCACTTTATTAATTCAATTAATTAATTAAATTGAATTAGCTTCCCAGCTGTAATTATGTTTGCTTTTAAATTGTTATTATCTATTTTGAAGTGATTGTTAATTTAAAATAATTTATTATGGTAAAGAGCATGACCTAAAAATGAAACATTTTTGGTATGGACTTTATTTTTTTACCTTTCAATAAGAAATTAGTCTTGATATAAAATAATGAATTTACAATTATGGTAGAGATGTATGCATATACAGTAAGCCATTCTTCACTCCTTGTTGTCTAGTAGTGCAATAAGAAAACCAACCATTTCACACATTTACTGCAGCCTTTAATCCTTGTCCACCTCTAATGTTCAAATTGATACAGCACCCAGAGCATGATCATGAGGGATCTGTCAGGAGCTCTATCAGTCTCACAAAGCCTACAGATTAAAGAGATTACAGTGATCATGTGGCTCCTGCTAACAGCCATCACAACATTCTCTTTGTTTTCAGGGTTGTAAGGATGTCACGGTGAACACATGAGAGGATTTTTGTCATTCAGGAATACACACTGTTGGGTTGGTGAAACAACAGTCCTCTGCCTTATATGAACCTATGTTTATCTCTGTCCGCCAGGTTATGTTTTCAGGCTTTAGTCACACATCTTCAAGTGACACATGTAACAAACATCAGAGCTATGGCGTATCTTAAATATGAAAGTAAATAAAGATATCTATGCTGGGGGAAAAACAAAACCACAAATGTTTTCAATAATTCTCTGTGGTCTCCAATTAGCTTGTCAGTGAGTTTATTAGACCACTATGCTTGTCTGGGTCACACTGCTTATCAACATTCTTGTATTAAAGTATTAAACTGACATCTTAGTCACCTGACAGGAAGACAGACATGGACTCTATTCTGAGTCTAAGTTGTGTGGTTAATTCATGTAAACGGAGCAGTCGCTTAAACCTACAAGAGTAGAAAAAAATCTGCTATAAATAAGAATTATATTTCTCCTTTAAGGCAGGGATTTTGAATCCTTTCAACCACTTCTTAAATACTGTCCATGCCATCAAGGAAGCACAATTAGCAATTGTTGAAATAGCCTCAGGTTTTACAAGAATATAAGAAGTTATAGTTCAAGTTATAAGAAGTGACTACTAAGAAATTATCGATAAACTGAAATGTCACAATAACATATCAATATTCTATAGTATCAACATTTTTTATTAACAAAATAAAGTCAAATAATAATGACATTTTATTGTGCTTTTATTTCTTCTCTAGCGATTACGAATATAGATCCCTCTGGTCCAACTTTAGTAACCCGTCGTTAAACGTGTAACAGCGTTGTGTGTTTACTATACTGACATTTTCCTACAATTAAATAAAAAAATAAAAAAACTAACTATATATTGTCGTTCTTATAGTATTACATTATATCACATTGTTGCCCCTGTATCATCATACATATGGATTCTTGCCAATCTACACCCCTAGTGACTACAGATAAAACTGGTACTTAATTTAACTGTGCTTTTCTGAAGTGGTTTCATGGTAATGCCTTACTTTATTTTCAGATTGCTCTGACATTACTACCTGACTGTAAGGCTGAGGAACTGATCCTATAAAATAGTAACAGCAACATTTAGGACTCATCATCTTTAGGCTGCTCTTTTTCTGTAGTGTCTTTTAACAAAGTCAATCACGTTGTTGTGAAATTACTCTAAATTAAATGCAGGTTGTAATAAATATATACAGTATTTGCCGATTTTATGTCTTTATGTCTAACTGGAACTACTGTACCATGATACACATAAGCTCAAGTGCATAGAAATAGTTACATCGAGGGAAACTGGACGGAGTAGGTTTTTTGAAGGTGTTTCATCAGTTCTGACTTACTACTGGGAAGTTCTGGTATTTATCCTCAGGCTGCAAATGTAACAAGGGTTGTTGCAGAAAGAGAAGACAGATGGTTTGAGAGAGGAATTAAGGAAACCATCTCTCAATGTGTCAAGAAAACCTTTCATCCACCTATAATGTTACCCTGAATTCTCTCCCCAAAAAATTCAACCTCCTCCCTGAAAACAAGACCACAGTTTCATTTCAGAGGACACCCAGCCAAAGGTGTTGCTCATGTGAATCTATTAGTCCATAGCTATGGTATCACCCCCCACTCACACCACTAACCTTGTGACTTTACATCTGGCCCACCCTTGTTGTGGGTATGTGATTTTCGAAACATTTGATTAGAAAATCACATTTATCTGAAAAGTAGTTCATTCTTGCCATTTTGTTATAAACAGATACTATTGGGTTTAAGTTAAGTTAGTTCATCCAATGAATGAGTTGTTTGTTGTTTCTTTCATAGAACATTGATGAAACCTAGGCTCAGTGAAGTAAACAAAAATAAGTCAGATTTATACTGAACAATATTCCTGACAAAATCAAGGTTTTAACGTTTGTTTATCAGAACAGCTCAAGTCAGCATGAGAAGAACAAAATGGTGCATTTGGTGAAAAACACAGAATAGAAACAATATAGAAAACAAAACTACTTTACATTATAAAAGGTAAACATATCAGTTTAGAGTCCTCAGTCTCTCCACTGCGTTGGAAGCAAAACCGTGACCTAACAAATGTAATCAATAAAAGCATGTCATAATTTACAATATAAATGATATATAGAGAGAGCTATACTTAGTATTAGCATGAATATAATTTGTTATTTTGTTCATATTGCTCATTAAAGGCTCTGGGAAACCAGCTGCTCCAGGATGGCAGATTCTAATATGTTCTATGATAATTTATATTTATCTATATTTATAATTTATTCTGTATTTAAATCGTCATTCAATATGTACAGGCAAACAAGTCATGACAAGGCGTGTTTGCACACATTTACAACACATGTAGCTGAGAGTGCCTAATTAAAGACTTGTTCAATTAAAAAAAAAGATTTATGAAAACGATTTATGAAAAAGGAATTATGATTCTTTACAAATTACTAATACGATATCTGTATATTAAAGCTCAGAGAGCAAAGAACTGTACAGGAACCTCTCCCTTTCTCACTGAAATGACAAAAAACATTTTAAGTTAAGGTTTTATCATAAAAGATGGACGGCATCTCAGAAAATATTTTAAAGCACAACTATGTGGAAGACTCAATGACTGACATTCTAATGTCAATATTTATTGACCCGCTCTGGTGGTTCTACTCTCTCTTGACGATGCCAAACTCTGATTGTTTGGTCCTGAAATATTACATGTCACTGTATCTTGCTCTGGCTAAAAGGCTGAGTCTGGTCAGGTAGTTAATAAACATAAGAGTCTATAAGGCAATGGAACATCTATTATTACTACCTCTTTGACATACTGTATACTGTTCGTCATAGTTACTGCGACTGTGTTATTGGCACATAAGTGTGCTTCCACAAAATGCACACAGGACACTGAGAAATGTTTTATGATCCTTTTGAAATGGCTACTTGCTCTGTCGCCAGGATTTGGAATTCTTAGTGGGAGCTTCTTCCAAACGTCGCTTATGCGTCAGTTGTCTTCTGCCTGCAAAAAAAAAAAAAAAAAAAAAAAAAAACACACACCGATCAATCATCTAGTCAATTAGCGATTTGGGTATAACAACTATATTTCTATTAGCCAAATTGGAAGTAGTCAAGGATGTTCACTGTTAATGTTACAATGATTCACCATTAGCTCTATAATATTACATGTACAACATTACATACAACAATATTTGCTACTTGAAAAAGGGTACCTGTTCCATGTTGGAAGGACACAGCATCAGTGGATGTTTCTAGAGCATCACTGGTCTCTGGAGTTACTCCAACATTACTGCCACTTGCACCATTAATAGCATTGGTAGGCACAGTTGCCAGCAGGCCTGCAGGGAAAACATTGGATTTGTGATAAAAAAAAACAAAAAACTGGACAGTAAATATCAACTATGGTTTATTTCTGAATTTTATTTATTGTATGACATTGTATGAGAATATTTTGGTTAACATTATAATGATTACGATTATTCATTGATTACTCACTGACTCTGAAAACACTGCATTTATTGCACATAGCAATAAAAATCTATAATACAATACAAATAAAAAGTTGCGTATCAGACATTTACTATGAACAGATCAATTCTCCAATTACTCATGTGGTCACATTTTAATTAAATTTAGAAGTGTTAAATTTCATCATACTGTATATATATTTACCATTAAGCATAAATACTATGTAAATGTGACATGTTCCTACCAAGTCCTCTGTAACAGGAAAGCTGCTGGTAAATTTGTTTCATCCGCTCTATGTTGATGCGACTGGCTTCAGCGTGGTTGACCATTGGTGCAGGGTAGTCCATGCCTATGATACAGTTGGCGGCTTTCTGCACTTCTTCTGGAGCATTCCATGGATCATGGATGTATCTGGCTGGGAATCCCTTTAGTACCGGTAGGTAACGCCTGAGAGCAGTGTTGAAAAAGGTTCATTGTAATTTCGCATGACAGACACTGCAGTCCTTTAATCAGTAACTATAATCTGTAAATCCTGAAAGTAGCAACATGTGATACTGTCAAATTTAGACCGAGTAAAAGTCACTCAATTTCACACGACGCATTCTAAATGTGTCTAAATTCCAAATGTGTTTTTGTCAAAACCTACATGAGTGCAGATAGGCAGACTGACCTTATGTAGTCACCATTGGGGTCGATCCGTTGTCCAAGTCCTACAGGGCAATAACTGCTAAAAAAATTCTGAAAGAATGAACTGCAGGAAAACCACATCCAACTGCCGGCATTTTCACTCCAGTCTGCATCCAACAGCAACTCTTCAAAGACCTGTATAGGCAGAGACGGTGAACGGCTGAGAAACGTGTCCACTTGTGCACATCTTTCTTGAATATAACAAGAAACCATCCCCTTGTCTGTTATAAAAAATATATCATAACCACTACAATATATTCTGATACTGTGCAATATGATAAGACGTGCAGCCATAATGCAGCTAACTACATTTTTCTTTGTGTAAATATGGATCAACAGGGTCTCTGCTTGAAGCTATACTAAGGAGCAGAACTATAACTTTAAGAGGGTGTTTCTTTATATTCATGAAGTATTTTGTTTATTCTTGATTTCTCACATTAATCTATATTATTTTCATTATTATTAACCACATAAAGGGAATTACATTTTTTGTTTGGACATAAAAGTAGAGGTAACAGAGACGGCACATAACTCTCACATTTATCTAAAAATATTAAACAGACTGTATCATCTTTTCCAGCTAGATTTTCACTCTTAATATTATCACGTTAGTTTATGGTAAGTTTTGACCCTCCATTGTGTACATACATTGTTGTTGTTAATATATATGCATGTACAGTACCTGTTCAAGGAAAACAGACCTGTCACTTTTGTCAGTGTTTACCTTCATGCCCTCTTCCCAGCGGATCCAGAGGTCTCCTCTGGTGAGAAAACAGGCCACAGCACGCCTTGCCATCTGGTGAATCCAGCCTTCCTGTTTTAGCTGGGTCATAAAGGAATCTATCCAAGGAAAACCTGTCCGACCCTCTGCCCACTTGGCTAATGCCTCTGGGTTTCTGTCCCAGGGAATCTGGAGACACACAGGGTTTCCTTCCATCTTGTCAAAGCAGGGGTTGTCTGTAGCCGTTGTGTAGAAGAAGTCCCTCAACAGCACTGGTCCATACAGAGAAGCTGGAGGTGTGTTGTCCATATTAACCTGATGAATCAAGTGTCAGTTTTGACTATTTGACTATACTGTATATTGTGTTTAAAAAGAAAAATGCTTAAACAATAAAATAAAATAATAACTTTTAGTTTAAGGATAACAATAATATCAACAATAATAATAACAATACCAAACAAAGGTTTGTTTGTTTGTTTGATGCTCTGTGTTAATACCTCTTTGTACACCTCTGTAAGTTTAAGGTAGAAGAGCCGGGAGGACAGACATCCAAACCTCAGGTAGGGGCTGAGCCCTATGGAACTGGCCAGCAGTGAGTTAGCATTCAGTTGTGGACGCTCAAAGTTTGCCATCCATGCCTGGTAAATAATTGAAAAATACCTGTTGAAAACTGTGCCAGTATTCAGCTTTTTTTCAACGTACAACATTTGGTAATGATGTTCCATGCAGTGGCTTAACACCTCTCAAATACAATAACATTTTTATTCTAACCGTGTAGACTTGTTAGCCTTCAGTTAGCCATCATTAAAACTCAGAACATATTTGGTTTGTCTACACTGGGTGGACTGATCCCACACTACGTTCCTTAATTAACCAAAAAGGAACTCCACAGGGATAAATAAGGTTATATCTATGCACTACTATAACCAGATACTAATAAAAAAACATATATAAAAAACATGTTTGTGTCCAATTAAATTAAACAAAGCTTTGACATATACATGTACAGTACACAGTATATGTAGAGTTTGTCACTCTGATTACCTTCCGTTCCAGGTAACTTTCTAGTCTCATGAGAGCTTCTGTTTCTCCACCTGGCCACACTGCTGGTGTCAGGCCCTCCATCTCAAACCCTTAAAAAAACAATACAAACAATACACAACTTTAGGGCATACACTCTGCAGTACCCACACATACATACACAAAAAAATTAAGCACAGAAATATACCAAGCTCTTCCAACGAGGGCACACCAAACTTCTCATTGTGGCCTTCGCTGATTGGTGTGGAACAATTTTTAATGCCCTCAGGTGTGATTGCCTCTGCAGGCAGCTCTACCGCCTCCAATTGATTGATCAGCGTTTGAAAGTGTTTGTAAGCCACAGGAGACTGACCACCGTTGAGTTTGATGATTCTTTAGATGAGAAAACAGGATAAACATATACAAACAGGCACAAACACAAAGGTATTATGTTTAATTTTGTAAATTCATTTAAAGATTTAAAGAAACAGACGATGCCACTCACTTTTCTGGATCATAAAGGGTGTGAGAAATCCGCACCATAACCTCTACTGCAGCCTCTTTGGCTACTTTTTGGATAATGGCATCACGTTCTTTGCCAAAAGGCTCAGAGTCATATTCATAAGATAAACGTGTGATCTGCCATTCCTGGGAAATGTACAAAAAAATGACTTTTAATTTTTTGTATGAAAGTTCTATACTACTTGCTAGCCAATGTTTTTTCTAAAAACAAAAAAACAAAAACAAAAAAACACATTTAATTCATCTTTATAACTATTGTCTTGATAACCATTACTCTGATGTTAATATAACATATTATTCATTTATATTACGTTTTATTGATATATTGTCTAAGTCTCTCTAATAATAATAAAAACAATATTACTTTTATTATATAACATTACACACACTGTGGATTTACCTGAGTTTTGACACATTCTAAATACAGAATTTTTTTAAGAGGTTATATTTTGTAAAAAATGAAAACTCTCGTACCTTAAAGAGACGAGGGAAGACGTCTGTAGGCTGTCCCCTAATGACAAACAAGCGGGAGTTGAGTTTGCGAAGGCTGGCGTCCAAGTCCTCTAAGCACTGCAACAAAAACCTACAGTGGAAGCAGGCAGAGAGAAGAAGGTGTCACTTAAGTCAGATAATTATTTTAAACAAAGACTAAACAAATAAAATCAAGTGGCATTTTAAATGTGCATGAAGTTTTATTTTGCCTCCAAACTTAATTTAGCAAAAATGTTTGCCAGTACTTGTTTCTCACAAAGAGAGAATCAATCCTTATGATATACCTCATATTAATGGTGTATCTGACTCCAAACTCTAAACTCAGGTCCTCTTGTTTAAGTTTTCATTACCGTTTGCTGCCATCTTGTGGAAGAGGTTTTAATTGTTCCGCCTGTCATTGTCTGTTTGTCATTGTCTGTTTGTTTGCGGTAAATAATAGTTTTCAGAACAATAAAATGAAATTGTCCATTGCACACCTGATTTCCTTTTAGGGAACAGTAGACAGCTGCAGCACAATGGTTAAGAATCACTTACTACCAAGAATTATTTCTTTCTAAATGTCCCTTAGTAGAAAAGTTAAATTTGTAGTATAATGTGTCACGATTTGAGGGACAACAGTAATAATCGGCCAAATAGTCATTTTTTTGGTTAGAGTTTTTAAAAAAGGGCACCTGCTTACTACACAGTAATAAAGTCACCAGATTCCTATTTTTCTTCAGTAAATACAGGAAGTGCCAAAAAGGTAACTAATCAAGTAATTAATCAAGTGGACACACATACCCAATGATACCCTGATACTGATCCAGCTGTAGCTCAAGAAACTGCCTTATAACATAGAGGCATTCTAGGCAAGGCATTTGTAAGAGACTGAGGTCCTTCCCCTCCCAGTTATTTACACTCATATGACCTGCTGTATGGACACCTTAGTGGGAAGGTGTCCAACCTTAGTGGGAAACACCCAAACCTATGGCCTGAGCCACTCAATTTTCTTGTTTTGTTTTTTTAGTTTTTAAATATACATCCACCTCTTGATGTTTCCCACACACTGTACCTTTAACTGATAAAGTTATAACTTTGATTTTGACAGCAGTTTTAAATATATGTTAAATTGTGTTAAGATTTTGTTATGTTTTCTGTCGTTTTGTGACAGAACACCCACAACCATTTTCCTCTGGCCTCCATTGCCACTGCATGATCCTGGGTTAGCGGTGCAATAATGATATACTTGGACTTCACATTTTTTAAACTACATTTCTATCACAGTGACATGACCTTCTACAGCCTACCTCCACCTGTTGATGCCCACATTGGAGGAGCCAGCGTACCAGGGGTCCAGGATGTAGATGCAGCGCAGAGTGTCAGCTCCTTGGATAGAGTCTCTCAGAGACGGGTTGTCATGCAGCCGCAGTCCTTTCCTGAACCAGTGGATGGTATTTACCACCATGTCATCAGCCTTCTTCGAATACACACTGGTAAAGGTATAGGGGTCAAGTAAGGTAACGTGGCTCCTCTAAATAACACAGAGCGCCCCCATGCGTTACGTTTGTAAGAAGACAATCTATCAGAAGTCCTTCAGCGTTAAAAAATAAAATAAAAGAGAGAGCACACGTAGGGAAGAATTGAGCGTTAAAAAAGCAAACGTTGGGAAGAATTGAACGCTTTTCCGATAAGCAGCGGAGATAGTAACAGCAGGTGACCTGAGACGAACTGCAACTCCCTGACGTAGATTTTTTAGTTCGATGAAACGTCTCGGTAGGCACTTAATTTGTCTAACCTTCGCTCGACAGCTGACACGAAAGGGCTAAATAAATGCACGCTACGCATCCGCAAAGGTTCGAGGAACAGCTAAAAAAAAGCATATCATTGCGTAATTTTGCGTTTCGATTCCACATTTTGCGCCAAACTACTTACATTTTTGAAGAGTCTAACTATGAGCAGTTTCCTTGGGTTAGACGTAAATACTGGAAGTCGTTGCCCATAAAAATCATCATTTCTATATCAACATCTCCACCCACGGAGACACGCAGACGGAACATACAACTGTGATTGGTTACTGTCAGCGGTTATGTAACTTTTTCACCGTCACGTTTCAGTAATGTGCTTTTATCGTGGCTAATGTGCCTGTTTAACTAACTCGAACGCCACTGTTTGCATGTATTCTGTTAAGTGCTCGTTTAAGTTTTACATCAGTGAAGCAAAGCACTAAACATTCTCCTTTACTTGCTAAAAAACAGGCCACAGGAAAGCTGCCGGTTACAGTTTGAAGAAATACCCGGATGAGCACATGTCAGGCGGCAAGGCGCTCTCAAATCAGGTATGCTCGATACATAGTAGTGAGCGTACCGATGGCCCCGAAACAGTGTTTATAGTTGCACCGCCAAACCCGCCCACGGAAAGGCAACCAATGTGTATTATTTTAACATACATTACAAAACACAATGGCAAACGTTCGTTGTCCACACGCAGGATTTTTAAGGTCACATAAAAGTGTAGATTTGTTTAAAACACGCATCAACAAATTTTGAGATTATAAAAAACATTCAACCCACCATTGTATCCATCTGTTTATAAAGATGCACTGTGTGAGACAAAACTTATTGGGCACACTTATTTTCACAGATGATATTTATTAATATGTATTTACTGCAAATAATCTGTCTATTCAACTATACGACAGTGACAGGTAGAACAATTAAATAATTTTCCACTAGATGGCAGCGAATGGCAATAAAATAAAAACAAAACATAAAAAAGACATGGAGCTGTTGAAGAAGATCTTAGTTTTTGTCTTTCATCAATTCCTATGAGTATATCTGGGTTTTGTTTAACTAAGCAGGTATATTTAACTGAGCAGGCTATATTTTAATGCAGAGTAAGTCAAATGTTACAGACATTTGAAACAAGGAGTTGGTTGTGTTTTTTTTATATTTTATACATATACATACCTTTGTGTTGCTTTGGTGATGTTCTGTAGCTCTGCCTCCTGTAGTTAATTTGAGTATATATTTCCAATGTAAAATATGTTCAGTGGTTTAAAAAAAGGTTGGGAAACATTGCTTGGTGTTAGTTATTTTTTCTTAAATGACCCTTAGGTATAAAAGCTAAAATTTTGAGGGCAGATTATCCAGGGAAAACAGTAACATATGGTCAAATAGTTTGATTTATTCAGACAGTTTTTATATGCGAACAGCATACTACTACAGTGTGCAGTGTGAATACAGAAGAGATATTAATGATTCTGAATATCTAGAATATTCATCAAACCATGTCAAAGTCTAGATGCAACTATCCATCCATCCATCCATCCATTTTCATCCGCTTATCCGTTACCGGGTCACGGGGGCAGCAGTCGCCACCCAAATCACACTGCACCGTACCAACCCCCCTAAACCTTCCTGCGGGTGGTGAGTCCACTGGAAGGTATTAGATGCAACTATCTGCAACAAAATTGTGTTGACATTAGGATTGTTCTTGAAAATGGAATTGTGAAAATTATGGTTGTTCTTTTATTCATATCATACAAAATGCAAGAGCAAAGTCATAGTGCAGTAGGAAGTACAACACTGCAGCATGACACTATCTCAATGCTTTCTGAAATACCTTAAAAAAACAACAACAATGCTTCATGTAACATAGTAGTACAGAGATTCCTCATGTTAGCATGAGATGTGTATTGGTTTCTTTTTTATTTCATACTAGCAACAGCCAGTGTTTTTCAGCTGCTTTAAAAACATCCTCAGTAGTTCCTAACCACACATCCTACCACAGTTAATTACAGAGTGTGTGCTTAGAACATGCTGTTTCTCAGGGCTTCGCTTGGCTTTCAATCCATCTGTAGCACAGAGGAGGGATGAAGGTCTACAACTCTGACTCATCCGTGTTATGTAGATATTCTTTTGATAAGTGACTTTACTATATAATTTTGTCAATGACTATCAAAGAGGCTGAGGCATTATATTCATTTTAAATGCAAAGATTGTGTAATGTTTTTAATTTGACTTTTATTTACAAAATGAAATATGAATTGGTTATTTGTGCTGTACTGGGTCAAAACTGACCTTGATTAATTGTCCTTTTTCTCCTAATTATGAAATTCTTAACAGTACAAAAAATGTACCTTTGGAAATGGACACCAGATGACAGTCTTGAGCCTTTCTCAAACAATTAAAATAGAATTTAAATAAAATATTTAAACAAACTAAACCATAAGCACCATTACACATTTCCATAAATTATAAATAAAAATACTGAGTTATAATAAATCCTATACTTTTATATGTCTGTGAAGTACATTGTCTTATGTATGTGAGGTCTGTCTGTTCCCTGTTCCTGTTCTGGCTGTCTGGGGTAATCAGTGTCATTACCTTCACCTGTGTCACTGTCATTAGTCTCACTCGTGTCACCCGATGCCCTGTGTATATACTCTACCTTTCTCCCTCACTCTGTTCTTGTGGGATGATTGTTCTGTTTAGTTTGTGTTTTGTGGTTATGCTCCTTGTTTGGTGTTTGATGTTCTGATACGGCCAACTGCCCCGTGAGACAATAATAAAAGCAAGGGACATCTTAAAGATCAGAGTCTATGGGTTTTGAAATGTCTTTTTTTAAAGTAAGAGCAGACGGATTGTGATATATTTCAATGTATGATGTGCTGTATAATGTTGAAAGGTCTCACAACTTTGTTTTTGTCTTTTTATCTAAATTAAGATTTGGACACAAACTTTTCTAATCACAGTATTCTGAGTTTACTGATGCTGACATGCAGTTCCTGCAGATCAATACAAATTAGCATTTTCATCTGAGAGACTACTTTAATAAATTTGTTAAAGTAGTCTCTCAGATGAAAATGATTATTTTTATAAACAACTTATGGTTCAAACAGTAATATTATATTGTGTTGAATTTAAACACAGTAGTAACTCCGCTGGTTTGTTAGTATTCCAAACATCACACTGTTTTCTTCCACAGAGATAAAATAGTCAATAAAAAGACAGAGGTAAATTAACATGATTAAAATCAGTGAGATTAGAACTGACCAGGATTTGAATAGGGTTTGATTGCAACTCTGACCTTCACAGTGTAAACAAGTGAATATCTGAAATTGTAACACTAAGACACATGAACATTTTTGGAAACATTGGTGGGGACACTTCCTTGGCATTGTCCTTGTGGGGGAAGTCTACATATCCCCACTGATAGAATATTTTGAGGTTTAAGTTTGGAGCAAGTCTAAGAATCAGGGTCAGATCAGAGTTAAGGTTTGGGTTTGAGTTTATTAATGGTTTAGGTTAGGGTAATGAACAAGAATGCATTGCATGTATTGCAGTGCAGTGCTTACAAACCCACGCGTCACATCAAAGTACTGTGAGGACATGATGAATCTTAAACGAAAACTCAATGATAGAACTCGAGGTTCCTCACCATCTTCATTAAAAGCTGTTCCCGTTGCCACTAATTTGCTTCCTTTGCTTTCATACAATGTAGCAATAAGTATCTGTTCTGTGTCATGACACAGGCATGTTACTGTGCAGGTGACAGAACATAATAATAAAGGCATAATTCATTGTTTCCCCCTATAACCGCTTTTTACTTAAACGTAAATGTTGCAATGCAATGACACTTGACATAGGGTACATTATCACTGCACAACGCCAGGGTTCACTGTTGCACAACAGGTACATCCTGCATGCCTGTCAAACACAAATATTGAATGTCTGCATTTAAGGCATAAACCTACCTACAACACTGACCAACACGCAGATCATCATCATATTTATATTTATATTTATATTTATATTTATATTTATATTTATATTTATATTTATATTTATATTTATACATGCCTCAAATGTTCCAATGCATGAAACCTTAAAACATTCAGTCATCAGTCAGAACAGAACAGCCTGCTGTACAGTAGCTACAGTTACTACTGTGCAGGACACTAACACACATTTCAGTGTCTTAAAAAAATCCATATGACAATTTAAACTGTACCATTATGTTCATTCATCTCATGCACTGATGAAGGCAAATTCCACCATGCTAGAAAACAGCACGTGTTCATGACAAAAACATAACTGACAGAGATCAGTGACTAGAACACATGGCTGATCACACTGAATGACCTTGAAAGTAATTCAGACCTTTTCAATGAGTTCTCAGCCAGAAGAGCAAAGGATACATTATGCATGCAATCTATTATTTATGGTCTTGAGTCGTGTTACCATCAGACATAGACCCAGAGAAAATAACTGAAAGCATGGGATGACCTGTCGCCTTACTACAGCATGTTACAGCTGTCTGTTTGCTGTCATTTTCACAAACCAGTTGGAGCAATTGCGTCTAATGAATACATCTTCACACACGGAGTTGGCTTTGCTATAGTTAAATATGCACTTGTAAATGGACAAACATGAATCTCTGCTGATGTTTTCTTTGCTGATTACAATGGAAGTATGGCTAAATGAAAAATAAACATTTTATTTTGTCTTTTCCCCCCTCATGGTGACACCTACTGCATCTCAAATGAAATGCGGGTTTCTGGAATACAGTCATGGGTGTCATATACAAAATGTACATAAAGAGAATTTCTAGTTTTATGGTGAGTGTAAGAGGGCAATATGACCTTCTACTTCTGGTAAATGTTATAATCTACATACATACTTTAAAGTATGGATAAGTCATTTTCACTCTTTATTTTAGTCACATATCTTACTTTTTTACTTTAATATAGAACAGGGTCACACGCTATACTTGGCAAAACAGACATTGTATTGTGTTGTGTTAAATTGTATTCATGACTTTTAAGAATGAACACGCACTGAGCCTGGATTGGATGGAAATTTAATCGATTTATTTGATTTCAGAATTAGTTTAGTTCCCCAGGTGGATCATGGAGAACACAGTGGAGCAGCGTCATTCTATGGTCCACATCTCTTGTTTATTCACAAGTCACGGTGATGACTTTTCATTGATTCTCCAAAGCGATCCAATTGCGACGCTGCTGTTTCCTCCCCGTCCTCCATTGGCTGGCAGCTGGTGTCGGTTCTCCACGGTCCTGCCTCCCTCTGACACACTCAGCCAGGGTCAGTGTGGATGCACGGTGGAGAGAACCCTCAACTTTTGCCTCTAATGGTTCTTCCCTAAAGAAGAGAACAGTCGTTTTTTATTCACAGAGAGCTGGAGTCGGGTGAGAGCCTGAGTAAACTCCCCCGCCTCGGACATTTTCCTCCACTTTTCGCCAGCCCTTGTTTGCAGCATGAAGTGCAGTTATGGCAAGGAGTAGCAAGTCAGTAGCGAGGACCCTGGAGGATTTGACGCTAGACTCAGG